GCTTTCCACAATGGTTGTACCATTTTACAGTCCCACCAGCAGTGTATGAGAGTCCCAATCTCTCCACAACCTCGCCAGCATTTGTTATTTTCCATCCAAGATATTTTAATGCTTATTTAATGTACAGTGCTGACTGTCTATAGTACAGATGCTGATTTATTTATCCAGAAGGTTGAAGTTGTAAATAAATAAAGAGGATAAAAGTTTTTTAAAAATACTTAGAACAGAACTTGTAAGTGACTAAAGTCATACTATGGGTACGCACTGCCATTGAGTCAGATCCAACTCATAGTGACCCCTCCTTGGGTTTCCGAGGCAATATCACTACGAAAGTAGATTGCCCAACCTTCCTTCCGAGGAGTGGCTGGTGGGTTTGAACAACCAGCTTTCTGGTTAGCAGTCAAGTGCCTTAGGCACTAGGCCACCAGAGCTCCTATACTATGGATAGGAGTCAAGAAATCTACTAATTTAAAAATATTCTTTAGTTTGTTATTTGGGAGCTCTGGTGGCTTATTGCGTAAGGCATCTGACTGCTAACCAGAAGGCTGGCGATTTAAACCCACCAGCCACTCCTCAGAAGGAAGGTTGGTCAATCTATTTCCATACAGAAGGCATCTTAGTAAATTAGTAAATTTACTTAGTAAAGTACATCTATAAAAAGTGGCAGTTAAAATCTCCTCCTATAGTTCAATAGTGACAATCAATTTACATACATGAATCCAAGCATTGATATTTATAAATTTCTCACTTTGATATTTATAGATTTATATTTGAGATAAAAATATATTTCTCCACATATTTCAGTTACTATGTTAATAATATGGTCATAAGCTGTAGAGATGTCTAGTCATTTGTCATATCACAAACCCAGATGTAAGTTTTCTTAAGATTTGTGAAAACTTTAAAAGCCCGTTACTGTTAAGGTAATTCCGACAGAGTAGAACTGCCCCGTAGAGTTTCCGCTACAGAAGTAGATTGCCCAACCTTCCTTCCGAGGAGTGATTGGTGGGTTTGAACCACCAGCCTTCTGGTTAGCAGTCAAGTGCCTTAGGCACTAAGCTACCAGAGCTCCTCCAAACATTATTAGTAGAACTTAATTTCCACTATCATAGACATAATATGAATATTTTGCTATTCCTTTCTAGTTAAGTAATTTGAAGCAAGTCACATTTGTAGATCTCTCAGTAAACAAGTTTTCCAGTATCCCAATTTGTGTCCTGCGGATGTCTCGTTTGCAGTGGTTGGATATCAGCAACAATGACCTGAATGACCTGCCACAAGACATAGACAGGTAGCTACTTGCCTTCTGAAGGTGAGGTATATGAATTAGTTACTAACGCCTTAAACACTGCTGACATTTTAAGCATGCATAATATGTGAATGCTCTTTGAAACCAACTACTCTTAATTTTCAAGAGTTTATTGTTTCCAGAAAGTTATTTTGGTTCTGTATAGGATAAGATCACTTCTAGTCTGCATCATGCATATGCATGGATATGTGCATTTCAATCATCTGTTGTCCAGGTGAACTTTAATTTGCTTCATCCTCAGTAGAATGACACCAGTAACTTTACAGAAGTAGAAAAGTAAATTTATTACATATCTGAGAATAGAAATATCAGATAGAAATATATCACTATGTTTAGAATACCAGTGAGGGAAATCTTTATTAGTTTTGTTTGTTGATTTATACATAACCTTTGAAACAAAACTGATATGCTTAGTGAAGTTTTGAAATTACATCTTTGTAGTTATTTCATGTTTAAGTAATTATTTCATGGACTCATGTAAGATTTATTCATTAATTCCACAAATATTATTAGGCTCCTGTATGGCAGGCCTGGCGAGTGGGCTGGTTTAAAGTGGTGAATGGAACAAGATCTTTAGCTTCTTAAAATCCGTGATATGCTTTATACAGTAGCATAAGTAAACTATCATGGTTTAGGCAGACTGGTATATGTGATATGCACTGATGCTTTTGTGTTTATGAGACTAGGGAGAATTATTTTAGTTTGAAGCATAAGAGAAACCTTGTGAGATATTTGTGAGGTCAGTCAAGATTTGGCAAATGAATGAAACAGAAAAACTGGAAAGGGGATGACTGAGTTAGAATAAAGTGGAAAGCAGAATAAAACATATTTGGAGCATAGTTTATTCATTTCCTTTTTACTATTCAGGTTTCTTTCTATTTTTAAGGTTAGAAAATATGGCAGAAGAATAACAGTGCTTTCAAAAAGTACAAAAGGAAGTATGTTGCCAAAATTTGTTTATTCTCATTTCAGTTGTAGTGTTATTTTTTTTTCCAGTACCCTTTTAACCCTTGGGCATGTGGAAGACACTTAGAGTGAGGATTACTCTGGAGGCCCCATCATAGTCTCTTGTTAGCTGCCATTGAGTGGGGCCTCCACCTCATGGTGACTCTATACACAATGGATCAGACTGCTGTGCTTCATGGGGTGTGCACTGGCTGATTTCTGAAGTGGATCACCAGGCCGTCCTGCCTAGTCCATTTTAGTCTGGAAGCTCCACTGACGTGGTTCACCTCATAGCAACCTGCAGATCTCCACTGACAGATGGGTGGTGGCTGAATATGAGTTGCATTGACCTGGGATTGAACCTGGGTCTCTGACATGGAAGGCAAGAATTCTGCCATTGAACCAATGCCTCTCATCCTGGTCTATTGCACAGTTTACTTATTTTGCTGCTATGTCTGTCTCTTTATAAGCAATTGACAACTGAGTCAGCAAAAACTGAAAAAAACACATTGTGTTATCTGGCGTGAATTTATTTTTCATTTATTTAAATTTAAAAATGAATTTATTCTCGTAAGGATCATGTATATGAAATAAGCTAAGTGGGATTTCCTACCAGAATTTATTTGTAATTTGAGTCAGTGCTCTTTGTCGTGAAGCTAAGTGCTGTTCTATCCCCCTTTACTTCTTAGGCTAGAAGAACTGCAAACCTTCCTCTTGTATAAAAACAAGTTGACCTATCTTCCTTACTGCTTGCTGAACCTGAAGAAGCTCACCTTGATAGCTGTTAGTGGGGACCATTTGGTGGAGCTCCCAACTGCCCTTTGTGATGCATCCACACCTGTAAAGTGAGTAGACCAGAGATCCTAGTACAGGCATGTTCTTTCAAACACAAGGTAAGGAGGGAGGAGCAACCAGAGTCTGGACAACTATCTCAGCAACTGAGTTAGATGATGCTCTTGTTCTGAGAATCTAATCCTGGTTCATAGCAATTCTGGTGAACTTTTTTTTTTTTTTTTTTTTGCAGTGTCTGATGGTATTAAATTAATGCCATTAAATTAATACATGCCATGTTAACAATGGTAGATTAACCATTTAACACTGACCCCTTTTGAGACCCCATTCAAACAAAATGAAAAGAGTAAAAATATATACAAACCCACAATGATGGACAGAGCAGGATAAAACTGTCATAGAGTGAGAGACTGCAGCCCTCTCAGTGGTACAGTGATTAAAGCATTCGACTATTAACTAAAAGTTTGAAGGTTTGAACCTATCAGTTGCTCTGTGGGAGAAAGATGTGACAGGCTGCTTCCGTGAAGATTTACAGCCTTAGAAAGCCTATGGGGCTGTTCTCCTCTGTCCTGTAGGGTCACTATGGTTCAGAATTGACTCCATGGCAGTGGATTTGTTTTTTGGTTTATAGAAGGCATGAAGTGGATAGAATAGCAGAGAGTGATGAAAACAAGATGAAATAAACTGAAACCCAGAGAACAAGCCAAGGAGTGAGTCAGTCTGCCCTGAAGAACTTTAAAGAAACTTGGTGGTCAGAAGTTCTAAGAAGGGGCAACTCTAGATCCTCCCACCATCCTTAATCTCTTCCTTTATTACAATGGGCAGAACACTTTGCTATGAGCAGTCCAAGGCCCAGAACCAAAGCCTGAGGTTTCCTTTAAGTTGACCCTGGAGGAAAGACCCTGGCCTTTTGTGTTTGGAGGTTCCCTAGGAGATTGGTTAGCTTCCTGCCTAAGTGGTGGCCCACAGTGGGGCTGGACCCTTGGCAAACGCTGCTTGCACACACAGTGTGCCCAGCCAACGCTTTGTTGCTTCCTTCTCAGATATGAAGGCATCACCAAGCCTTCATAATTGAAGAAAGTTGCCTATGTGGAATGTAGTGATCAAAATAAACAAATAATAAAACACAAAGCGAGGGGTGAAAGAAAAAATGAGTAAAACAATTCCTATCTAAGAGAAATTTGAAAAGATACCACATGCTTTAAGCAACACCAAAATGATTGACAAGGGACCAATAGGGACAATGGAGGACTCTTGATAATTAAAAATGTGGTATGAAAGCAAACAACAAAAAATAAACAAAACATAAATGCTAACTGAAGCAACAACAGATCTTTCAGGGGTGGTTTGGAAGAAAAAGTTGAGAAAGCTCCCAGAAAGAGGAATTAAAGGGAAGAGAAGGGAGAGAGAGAGAAAAGACCAGAGAAGAGATGAGAGATAGAGGTTCCCAATCAAGGAAATTCAAAATATGCTCCACAGAAGGTGGAAGGGTCAAGGATTTCAATGTACTATGTCTGCAACTTCCTGTGACCTACAATTATCTCAAAATAAACTGTATATAAGACAAATGTGGTTGAAATACATGTTTTAATGGGGTTGCTTAAAGCATGCTTTCTTGAATAACAGAAAGAGATAGCAGTGGGAGAAGTTTTCAATTAAACCAGAAAAACCAAACTCACTGCTGTGGTGTCGATTCTGACTCATAGCGATATGAAATCATTTTCCAGAGCAGAAGCCAAGCGGTCTCTAGTTGAAATCAAAACTTGCAGAATGGAAAAAAAGATTCACACTTAGCTTTCATTGTGAAATTTTAGAGCATCGAGTTTTAGAAGGAACTCCCAAATGCTTCAAGAAAGAAACTGCAGCTCTCCTATAAGGCAACACTTACAACACTGTTTTCTGGAACTGGCACAGTGTCTTCCTACCCTCTGAGGTAGACACTTTCAGTCTAGAATTCTATATTGCCTGACTCACCAGTCACTACCCACTGCCATCGAATCGACTCAGACTCGTAGTGATCCACAAACAAAACAAAACAAAACTCACTGCTGTCGAGTCGGATCTGTCTCATAGCGACCCCTCCTTGGGCGGTATCTCTACAGAAGTAGATTGCCCAACCTTCCTTCCGAGGAGTGGTTAGTGGGTTTGAACTGCCAGCCTTCTGGTTAGCAGTCAAATGCTTAGGCACTATATCACCAGGGTAGGAATGCCCAATAAGGTTTCCAAGGCTATAAATCTTTATAGAAGCAGACTGCCACAGCTTTCTCATGTGGAGTGGCAGGTGGTTTTGAACCACCAACCTTTTGGTTAGCAGCTAAGTGTGCCACAAGTGTGCCACCAGTACTCCTTTACTAATCAGTAATGAGGATAAAATATATACATTGTCAGATAAATAGAAACTCAGAAAATTTAGCTCCAACCCATCGCTTTCCAGAAGTTATTTGAGGATATGTGTCCTCAAAATAAGGGCGTAAACCAAGAAAGAGGAAAACACAAGATGCAAGAAGCAGTGGACCTACCCCAGGACAGCTGGGCAGAAGGAAGTCTGCCCTAGTGGCCAATTGCAGCAGTCCATGGATCAGCCCTTCAAGACTGTATGGGACAGAAGGCCCTGAAAGTGAGAGCTCTAAGAGGAAAAAAAGAGAATATGCTTGCAGAGAGAACTTAATAAATGTTAAAAAGAAGACAAATAGGTAGGGAAGAAAAGGGAAGGGGAAAGGGCGAATATTATCCCTTGGAAGGGGAAAAAAAAAGGTCTGTATAGAATAAGACAACGTAGTTATAATACCCTTTGAAGAGAACAGTCTTTACATTGTCACAAATATATAAGTATTGTTGATTGATTTTCAGTTTTAGACTCAAACTGCAGCAAAATATAATTTACTATTCAAGATTATAAATATATATGGTAATTATTTTGATAAAAAGCAAAGAGTAATAAAATATAGATATATGTCTTGTTTTTAGGTATGGAAGGACTACAAACATAAATTCAATGAAAGAAATCACAAAGAAAATGTTGAGTGGATTTGTCTACATAAAAATGAATGTATCTTTACTTTCTCCAAACCTAGACATTAAACAAAATTAAAAGGAAAATGAACTGAGAAATATGCATATGTACTAAAATATGACAGATATGGGGCTGGGGCAGTGGTTAAAAGCATTCAGCTGCTAACCAAAAGGTCAGAGGTTGGACCCCACCAGAGCTCCACAGAAGGAAAATGAGGCAGTCTGCTTTTGTAAAGATGTACAGCCTTGGAAACCCTATGGGGCAGTACCTCTCTGTCCTGTAGGGTCGCTATGAGTCAGAATTGACTCCACAGCTGTGGGTTTTTCATGTGGAAACCTCTTTCAGAAGTGTAAGGATGGACGATCAAGTGCCATTTTAGTTTCTCTCTTTTGAATTCTTTTTTTTCTAGCAACAGTCCATCTTTTAAATACTTTTTTTTGTGAAGATTTTCTCTGGGCCCTTTTTAACTTAGCCACATGCTTTTAAAGTTTGATATCAGTAATTGGAAGTAATATAAAACAGAACTAGACATCACATAGTTTTCAGGATCTGACTGAGAGAAAGTGTTACTGTCTATTATTTCCTGGCCGTCGGCGCTCTGTCCGTGGCTAAGTAGCTCTCACTTCCCCCTTAGGGCTCAGAATTGTCTGCCTTAAAACTGACTCCACAGTGCTACTGGATCACTCTACTATAGAATTCCCCGATGATACTAATATTAGGTGGTCAACTGTGAATTTCAAGAATAAATGAGATCCTTGGATTTAGTACCAAAAGGTTGATTCTTACATTAGAAAATTATTTTAAAATTTATTTTGTTTTTATTCTTGTGGTTGAGAATATCCACAGCAGAACATACACCAATTCAACAATTTTTACATGTACGGGTCATTGACATTGATTACCTTCTTCAACTTGTGCAACCATCCCCTCCCCCTTTTTTCCAGTTGTTTCTCTCCCATTAATGTAAACTC